TGGGCGATAGTTGTTGGGATCCTCTCTTTTCCCCTTTTTGAAGATGGGGATAATGTTTACTGTCCTCCAGTCTGCTGGGACTTCTCCTCTTCTCCTGGAGTTCTCAAAGATTATTGCCAGTGGCTCTGAGATTACATTTGCCAGTTCTTTTAATATCCTTGCATGTAGTTCATCTGGTCCTGGAGACTTAAATTCATTTAGGTTAACCAGGTATTCCTGGTGAAATCAATAGGACAGTCCCACTAAGTTTGTTGGGTCTGCTATAAGGAGGACTAAACCTGGATCCAACTCTATAAAGTTTATTCTAGCATACATTCTCAGTTGATTTGCTATTGAATGAAATTTTAAATATGCATGGAGCCAATGAAATATGAACTTTAAATATACATGGAGCCAATGAATTGCAACTGGATGGTGCCTAGGCCCAGGCACATCCCCCAAAGTCCCACTTTGCTGCCTCATCATGGTGTGGAGGTCACACATGTGACTTCTTGAGTCAGTGGCGATTGTCCTGCTGAAGCTTCCAGCAGCTCCAGGAAGATGATGTCTCTTCTTTTCTTCTAGCTGTTGAAAGAAGCCAGCACTCTCAAGAATCACATGTTTTAAATTTGGGAACATCTCAGTTGATTTGCTATTGATTGAAACATTAAATATACATGGACCCAATGAAATATAAACTTTAAATATATATGGAGCCAATGAATTGCAGCTGGATGGCCATGGTGGCATGCTTTCATGTTGAAAAGATTCAGAAGCCCAGTTGAAGTGTGTTTGGCAGAATGTTATGCTTCATGATATCAACCAGTCTACTGTTCAAAGACCAATTTAGCTTAGTGGTGAAAGATTTGTCACCCCATCGCTTGTAACCAAGTGACGAACTGACACAGCAACTGTGAACCCAACAGTGGTGTGAAATAGTAGTGATCTAAATCAATGGAAGGAATATTTGTACCAGTGAAATATCAGCTCTTCAAAATTTTCATGGTGTTATTTTGTATGGGTTGAGAACACATGATGCCATTGTTTAAAGCTAAGCACGTGAGTGTCTAGAGTCTAGTCACTCACTGATTGGATAGAGAATCCTTGTGAATCCCATGTACATTGTCCTGAATTATTTGATGGAAGGAAAAAGGGATATAAAAGTAAAAATAAATAAATAGAATGAATTCATAAATGCAAATAACTGATTTTATTTATGTGTTGTTGCTTTTATTCAACCCCCCTATTTATCCTGTTAACAGAATTGTGGGGCAGATTAGCTTCAGAGATAGAAGTCTCCTTCAGATGTGGCAAATGTTTTGTGAAATTATAGTATTTTTTAAATATTCAAATGACATTTCAGGGCCTAAGCAGATTGCCAGAAATAGTGCACATTAAATTGAGGCACTACCCTGGCTCAGTGCTAGGGAATCATGGGAATTGTATTTTTTTCTGAGACATTGAGCCTTCTCTATCAGAGAGCTCTGGTGCCATAATAAATTACAGTTCCCTTGATTCCCTAGCACTGAACCAGGGCAGTGCCTCAATTTAAAGTGCACTATTTCTGGCAGTCTGCTTAGACTATTTTTTGGTAACTCCTGGAATCAGCTGCAACATTTTATTCCAGTCTTCAGGTTGTTTTCTGTTTAATTGTAAGACCTTTACAATATGTTCCCTTCTTTTCTCTTCCTTTCTTTTCTTTTTTGAGAATCACAGTGCTATAGTGCATCAGTGAAATAGCACTTTTTCACTATAAATCTATGACTATTTTTTAAAAAATTCAGAGATGAGAAAATTGCCTTTCCAACCAAGGGACCAACTCACCACTCCATTTCCTTAGTTTAGAAAAGCCTGTGGAAGAGCCCTGGTGCTTAACCAAGAAATTTACTCCAACAGCTCCCCCGAAACAATGGAATGAGTTTGCATTGAGGCAACATGAACCACCAAAACAAAGGAGATATATCAAGAGAATTCACACTTCCTTAGACCAATCTGAAAAAGCTGGGGTGGGGACAAGGTTACCCAGTGAACTTCACTGGTCTTCTACTTTAACCACCACATCACTTGGGCTTTCTGGTCTTGCTATAGTCTCTTTGCTTTCAAAATGTAAAACAACCAAATCAAACCTAAACCTACATAGGTCTGCAATACAAACATGGCTGGAATGAGCAAACTACAGAATGTAAAATATATCCATGACATCAGTGGTTTATATTTATTTTCTATGTGTTATTTATTTCTAAAGCATTAAAATAAAAAAATTGTCCTTTGTTTCTTGAGCAGATATATATGGTATGTAAATTGTTAGGACAGAATGTGAAACATGCTTGAATGAACAAATGTACTTTAGTATGAGTACACAGAAAAACTGTGGTGGGGTCTACTTTAATTAATGTTCATGAATGACCTGCCAACATTTTGGGTTTTCAGGTATTTATTAAGTACTAGTAATGAGATATTAATGTTGGTCAATGAAATGTAGGTCACTGAACCTCAGGAGCTATGTAACTTCAAAAAGCATTTGTAAGTGACGGAGTTTAAATAAAAGACTGTCAAGATATGTATAGCTATTCTTGCAAAAGACAAAACCAGACATGACTCATTTCAGCTAAATGTTTCTTAATTTGAGCTGATTGTTTTAACAAAGTTTCATACACGTTTACTTGGCTTTTTATTGCCTACAATGTGGAGCTTGTGCCAATTTATTTATTCTTTCATTGAAGGAAGAAGGAGAAATAATCTGTGAAGAAGGTATGCAGGAAGAAAAAACTGGACTAGGGCAGATGAGCTAGTAGAGAGTGCTAGTCAGGGAATTCTGGAAATTGTAGTCCAAGAAAGCCACTTTCCCAAGCTCAGGCCATAATTTAATGGGATTATCTTCCATTTGTTGTTGCTGTTGTTAATTTCCTTCAAGACAGCTCCAGCTTTTGGAAACACTGTGAATGAGAGATCCCCAAGATCCGAAATCATCAAGTCAGGGTTGTGGCTTTCTTGGTTGAGTCAATCTACCTGCAGTGCAGTTTTCTTTCCCTACTGTCTTCAATTTTACCAAGCATTATAATATTTTCTAATGAGTCATATCACTTCATGATGCGTCCCAAGCACAAAAGCCTCAATTTGGTGATTTAGGTTTCTAGGGTAGGTTCAAGGTTGATTTGCTGTTGGACATCTGCAGAACTC